CCAAGAGTCGGATGCTTAACCGGCTGAGCCACCCAGGCGCCCCTATCGTCGGACCTTTAAATCAATGTGAAATCCAGAGCAAGTGGCACAAAACTTCAGTCCCTCCCTAGCTGCCAGGGATTCGCTGTAAATCACGGCGGGTCGCCCCCACTCTTCACACAGGTGGCAGCCGTGGCTCCTTAGAAGCCGCCGTAGCTCCTTGTGGTCCGTGTGGGAGGCTCCGACTAGGTCTGTGTGGTGAAAGCACCCTCCCTCTGACCGCTTCCTGCCGAGATCCCCTCTTGCTTGCCCCCTTCCGGGTCAGAACATTGCCCCCCACCCCGTCCTCCATATTCAGAAGCTGAGGAAAGACGGGTGCGGCCACACATCCATCTTACCTGCCAGCAGGTATTCCCTTTCTCGGGGACTTTTCCTTTCCACTTGACTGGCCTTGTCCTTTGAGGCAACAGCCTCATTTCTCCAGCGGGGCACCCACACTTAGCAGTTAGGAAACTGCATCAAATCACCAACACCATTGCCAAGAACCACTGCAGGCAAGCACCCTGTTACATAGGCTTGGAGTTTAGTGCTTTCCCTCCAGGCTCACACTCACAAAGGGTAACCGCTCTGGCCACCTTGTTAGGCACCCCCTGCCCCATCCCGCCTCTCCCCACATCCTAGTCCCCTGCCCTAGGCACGCTGGGACTTCCCAGAGCACACTTAGAAACTTACAGACCACAGCCAACCTCCTTACTGGATAGAGACAGAGAGGGACAGCAGCTTCTCCAGGGTCACACAGCTAGCGGGTGGTGGAATCATCGGATCCCAGTTCTCTAATTCCCAGTCTGGGTTTGTCTCCCACTGTGAAGAATGACAACATTTTGTAATTGAAGTAGCCATCAATTTCGTCATATATCAGGATTTATGTCCCAATGGAGGCTGGCACGAATCCTGTCTCAACAGTTCTCTGTATTCTTTTGAGCTCCCAAAAATAATGTTGGATTTGGGGTTTGTTGGATGTGCTCAGGTCAGGGGCACAGAAACCCAGTCCTGGCCTACAGCATGCCCCCAGGACTCCCAGGGAGATGCCTGTGAGGAACAAAGACCAAGGAAAGCAAAAGGTCTCTTCTTTACTGGCAGAGCTTGGGCCCCATACTTGAGCACACGAACTACTTTTACTGAGAGTTAGGCCAGCCCTTCCCTCCCACCAGTGCCGGGGAGGTGAGCCGTCAGAAGCTAGAGAGCACAGAGCCCACGACAAGCGCCCTGGACCCGACCTGGCCAGCATGGCAGCTGGGTGGGAGGTGGGGGTAGGCGAAGGCAGGCCCCCATCGGGTGGGCAGGCTGCCCTGCAGGCAAGTGCCTGGCACTCACTGTCTCCGTCTCCTGGAATGAAGAGACCAAAGGGGGAAACACCCTCCTGGGTGTGACCTTTGCAGGTTCAGTGCCGCCCTCACGAGGCAGTGTGGCCATGGCGGGTGGGGGGGGGGGGGGGGGGGGGGGGGGGGAAGGGGCTGCTACAACACACCCTGCGTCTACTCACAGTACATTTATGTTGCGCGGCACTAAGTATTTACAGGCATTTCCGAATTGAAAGGTACTGAAACGTGTTCTATGAAATTTGGAAATTACGGGAAAGAAAATCCATTGCCCGGAGATAATTCACTGGTGATATTATAGGGTGTATCCTTCCAGTTTGGGTGCTAAAGGAGCGTCAGTTAGTGCAATCACTTTCAACAGCACTTTGCGTTGCCCAGTTAAGGGAACTATGTGCATTCCCCGTGACCCAGCATCAGCCCCTGGAGATGTGCTCCTCGAGGGACACACACCTACACACTGGGAGTCGAGTGCTCACGTGGGATGCTCACAGCCAGCCTGTTCACAGTAGCGAAAACCTGGAAACCATGAACGTGTGTCAACAGGAGAATGGACACCAAAAATCATGACATATTTAAATGAGCAACTACCGCTGTATTCTGGGAAGCACACGCTAGAGATTTCAGAGGTCATTGGTGCTATTGCCTATCTTTCTTCCTCCCTCCCTTCTTCCTTCCTGCCTGCCTTTTTCTCTTTCTTGTGGAAACTTTCTTACATACATAAAAATAGGACCGTATTATGAGCCCCCATGTACCCATCACCTTCAGTAACGATCAAATCACCACTAATATCGTTTCATTCGTATCCTTCCTCCACTTGTCCCCATCCCTTCCCAAATGATTTTGAAGCATAATATTCATTTTCTTAAGCTGGCTGGCGATATTTTGCTTTTTAAGATGGTTGAGGGGGATGTACAGGTGTTCTTTTTTATTATTCTTTAAACTGCATATATATTTAAACTGTAGATGTGTGTAATAGTCATTTCTGCATGTATTTAGTACTTCGTTATGGAAACACTTACGTGCTCGTTTTAAATCGTTGGGGTTTTGTTTGGTTTTGTTTTTGCGCCTACTGTGTACGAGACTGCCCACTACCCTGCCTCTCACAGTGGCAGAGATTATCTGAGATTTTATACTGTGACATCTGATGGGGGCGTGGGGGGCGTGGGGGGAAGTACCACCCGTGTCTCGTTTGAATGTGTTTTTACACGATTACTAGCCCGGTTTCAGTGGCAGTGTTCCTCACTGGTCCTGTGTGGCATCTCGTGGGCCTTACATACGAAGGACAAGTCTTTCTCCTCTGGGAGAATGCCTTTATTTACGTCTCCCTGCTTCCTTTCCTATCTCTGTCGTTCTTAAAGGACGTGTGAATCAGAACGTTTACACTGGCAGGCGGTGGAAACACCGATGTAAACCGGCTTGGGAAACTGTTGGCTCCCTCCTGCCCTGCTGCGTCCACGGGCTCCAGCCTTTTCCTCGGTCTGCCCTTCCTGCTTCTCTCTCAGTCTCTCGCCCCCCTCCCCTCACCCCTGCCTTCAGATCCGCGGCCCTCTGGGTTGGCCTTGCTCTCGCCTGATCGATGGGCCCCAGGGAGGGGAGCTGGGTAGAGCCAAGCCGGCACCCGCGCTCCGGAGGTAGACTCAGATTGGTCCTCTCTGGGTCACGTGCCCCCCGCCAGCCTGCCAGAGGCGGGAGGGGCTGCCTCCCGAAGAAGCTGCTGGGAAAGTCGGCCAGACGACGAAGACCGCAGGGGCTGTACGGCGGGACCAGTGGAACCATTTCCCTCCTATCCGCTGTCGCGCAGCGTTTGTGCTCCTTGTTCGGGGACATGACCTGGGCCTTGCACGCCACTAATTTGGCCTTTGGCGCATGCCCTTCTTTTGGCCGTCGGATTTTTAAATGTCAAGCTTTTTGTTCTTGGGTTGTTCCTTTTGTAGAGTAATCTGTTACAGTCTTAGGGATGCAACCGCATCTCAGATCCCCCCCCCCCCCCCCCCAGGAAACGAGTTTTTATTTCCTCACATTTTGGTTGGGGTCCCGTCTTCACTGTTCGGGTTTCCTTGTACATCACGTAATCCTTGGCTGCCCATCCGGTTTTGAGCAGGAGGAGAAGCAGATTTGCACGAGGAGCCGGTGGTGGAAGTTCCCGAGGAAGCGGGTGTGGGTGCGGAGAGCACCCCTCTTGCAGGGAACCAAGGGGACGGGAGGACCTTCAGCCCCCAGCTACCTGAATCCAGGAGGAAGGACCTATGGGGAAAGCAGCCAAGACCAACAGGCCAGGAAGCCCACGGGCCAGGGCCAGCTCGGCAGATCGCCGCCCGCCTTCATTTGTAAATAGGAACGAGGGACTTGGATCTGGAGGGGTGTTTTCCCACGGTGGCAGTCGAGAGCCCAGCGGTACTGCAGGATCTGTGTCTTTGAGCCCACGCCCACATTCTTCACGGAGCAGGGGAGTCACCGCTTGGCCCTCCGGGTGTTGCCGTGTCGCCGGGTGGTGTGCGGGAGCTCAGGTGTTGGGGCCCTGAACTGGCCACGTTCATCTCGGGGCAGCCTTTGGTTAACTCCTCTGCCCTTTCCCCGCGGCCCACTCCTGCCCCATGAGGCCCCTCGTTCTGTTAGGGAAGCTCTGCAGGGCCTTTGCCTCCGGGATTTGTTCGAGAGAGAGAGAGAGATTACAAGCAGGGAAGGGGAAGAGAGAGAGAGAGAGGGAGGGAGAATCTCAAGAAGGCTCCAAATTGCCAGTGCAGAACCCGACACGGGGCTCCAACTCATGAACAGTGACATCAGGACCTGAGCCAAAATCAAGAGCCAGATGCTTAACTGACTGAGCCCCCCGGGCGCCCCCCCCTTCTTTGTTCTTTATGGTGCTTGATAAAATATAATGATACAGGTGTAACGGTGGCTGATCCTGATCCACTCTCCATCCTCCTTCTCTACCCTGCTGTCCTATTTATCCACATCCTCAGGATCTCTCTTAATGGTAGTCATCCTGGTGTGTGTGAAGCGATATTTCATTGAGGATTTGGTTTATATTTTCATGGTGGCAGATGATGTTTTGCATCTTTTGTGTGCTTATTGGCCATTTATAGGTCTTCTTTGGAGACCTGTCGATTGAGATCTTTGCCCACTTTGAAAAATAGGGTTGTCTTTTTACCATGGAGTTGTAAGCATTCTTTATATCTTCTAGATACAAGTCTCTTACTAGGTATATGATTTTCAAATATCTTCTCCCATTCTGAGGATTGTCTTCACCTTCTTGATGGTTTACTGAAAAGCATAAAATTTTTTAATTTTGATGAAGTCCATTTTATTTTTCTTTTTTGTGGCTTGTGCTTTTGAGGTTCCATCTACAAATAACCATTGCCTCATCTAATGTGCACAGCAGCCTTCTTCCAAGAGCTTTGTAGTTTTAGCTCATGGGGTTAGATGTCTGATCCGTTTTGAGTTAATTTTTGTGTATGGTGTGAGAAAGGGATCCGTCTTAGTTCTTAGATAATCACTTGTTTCAGCACCATTTATTAAGAACACTGTTCTTTACCCATTGACTTGTCTTGGCACCCTTATCAAAATAAATCAACTGTACACGTGAAAGTTTATTTATGGGCTGTCTATTCTGTTCTGTTGAGCTATAGAATTATTCTTGTTCCAGCACCACAGTTGCTTAATTACTATAACTTTGTAGTAAGTTTTGGAATCAGGAAGTATGAATTCTCCAACTTTGTTTTTCTGTGTCAAGGTCACTTTGGTTATTCTGGGTCCTTAGCATTTCCATATGAGTTCTAGGGTCGGTTTATCAATGATTGCAAATAGCCAGCTGGGATTTTAATTGGGACTGTATGGGATCTGTAGATCGCTTTGGAGAGTATATTCACCTTAACCATATTAAGTCTTCCTATCTGTGAATGTGAAATGTCTTTTCATTTATCTAGGTCCTTCTAGCATTTCTTTTGGTGATGTTTGTCATTACATTTGGTAAGTTTGTCATTACCAAACATTTGGTAATGTTTATCATTTTGGTAATGTTTGTCATTTGTATAAATCTTGTACTTCTTCTGTTAAAGTTATTCCTAGGTATCTTTTTTGATGCTTTTGGAAATGAACTGGCTTTCCTAATTTCATTTTATGAATATTCATTGCTAGTATACAGAAATACAAATATTTTTGCATACTGATCTTGTACCCTACAACCTTGCTGAATTCATTATTACTTCTAATAGTTCTCTAAATAGAAGATAGTGTGTCATCAATATATACAGATAATTATACTTCGTCTTGTCCAATCTGGATGCTTTTTATTTCTTTTTCCTGCCCAATGCACCTAATACACCTGTGCAATATTGAATAAAAGTGGCAAAAGTAGACATCCTTGTCTTGTTACCTATCTTAAAAAGAAAGCGTTCAGTCTTTCACCATTAAGTATGATGTTAGCTATTGGCTTTTTGTAGATGTCTTTTATCGGGTTAAGGAAGTTCCTTTCTATTCCTAGTTTGCTGATTGTTTTTTTATCATGAAAGAATGTTAGTTTCATTGAATGTTTTTTCTGTATCTGTTGAAATGATCATGTCATTTTTTTGTCCTTTCATTGTGTGTGTTAACAGGGTGTTTTATGTTGACCTTTGGATGTTAAAACCATCCTTGCATTCTTGTAAAAATCCCATTTGGTCACAGTGTATGATTCTTTTTATCCGTTGTTGGATATGGGTTGCTGATATTTTCTTGAGGATATTTGTATCTGTAGCCATAAGAGATACTGGTCTGTAGTTTTTTTTTTTTGTGATGTCTTTTTCTGGTTTTGCTACTAGAGTAATAACATCTTAGAAATGAGTTTGGGGGGCGGCTGGGTGGCGCAGTCGGTTAAGTGTCCGACTTCAGCCAGGTCACGATCTCGCGGTCCGTGAGTTCGAGCCCCGCGTCAGGCTCTGGGCTGATGGCTCAGAGCCTGGAGCCTGTTTCCGATTCTGTGTCTCCCTCTCTCTCTGCCCCTCCCCCATTCATGCTCTGTCTCTCTCTGTCCCCAAAATAAATAAATGTTGAAAAAAAAAATTAAAAAAAAAAAAAAAAGAAATGAGTTTGGAAGTGTTCACTCCTCTTCTATGTTATTGAAGAGTTTGTGACAGATTGGTGTGAATTTTTTAAATGTTTGGTAGAATTAACCAGTGAAGACGTGTGGAGGTGGGCTTTTCTCTGTGAGAACTTTAAAAATAACTTAATCTTTTGTGATGGGTTTGTTCAAGTTTTGTATTTCTTCTTGACTCCAGTTTGTGTTGTTCTAGGAATTTATCCATTTCATCTAAATTGCATAATTTGTTCACATACAGTTGTTAATTATGTTTCCCTGTAATCCTTTTTTATTTATGCATCGTCAGTAGTAATGTCCTCTTTTCCATTCCCAATTTCTGTCATTCGAGTCTTCTCTCTTTTTCTCTTGGTCATTCTAGCTAGAGCTTTGTTAATGTTGATGTTTTCAAAGAACCAGCTTTTGGTTTAGTTGATTTCCTGTCTTTTTCTATTTTCTGTTTAACATATCTGCTTTCTAATCTTTATTTCTCTCCTTATGCTTGCTTTGTGTTTAGTTTGTTGTCCTTTTATCTAGTTTCTAGTTCCTTAAGGTAAAAGCTTGGGTTTTTGATTTGAGATCTTTTATTTATTAATATTGGCATTTACAGATATAAACTTCTCTCTAAGCACAGCTTTAGCTACATCACATAAACTTTGATAGGTTATGTTCTCATTTTCATTGATACAAAGTATTTTCTAATTTCTCTTATGATTTTTACTTGATCCATTGCTTATTTAGGAATGTGTTGTTTAATTTACACAAATTTTTGTTTCTCAGATTTCTTTCTATTGTTGATTTTTCATTTGATTCTCTTGTTTTTGGAGAAAACACTTTGACTCCAGTACTTTTAAATTTAAATTTTTTTAAATGTTTATTCATTTTTGAAAGAGAGAGAGAGACAGAGCACAAGCAGGGGTGGGGTGGAGAGAGAGGAGGACACAGAATCCGAAGCAGGCTCCAGGTTCTGAGCTGTCAGCACAGAGCCCGACGTGGGGTTTGAACTCACGAACTGTGAGATCATGACCTGAACCGAAGTCGGATGCCCAACCGACCGAGCCACCCAGGCGCCCCGTCCAGTACTTTTAAATTCATTGAAGCTTTTATTTTGAGCTACCTTATGGTCTAGTCTGTAGAATGTTCCATGTGCACTTTAGAAAAATGTATATTCTGTTGAGTAGTGTTGTATATATGGCTATTAGGTCTGGTTGGCTTATAGTGTTAAGTCTTCTGTTCCCATGTTTATCTTCTGCTTAGTTCTATTACTTAAAATGCGGTTTTGAACTCTCCAGCTATTGTTTATTTTTTTTGTGTTTTTTTTTTTGGTTTTTTTTTTTTTTTTATGAAATTTATTGTCGGTTTCCACTTACAACGCAGTGCTCATCCCAAAGGTGCCTCAATACCCATCACCCACCACTCCTCCCTCCACCCCATCAGCCCATAGTTGTTCTCAGTTCTCAACAGTGTCTTATGCTTTGGCTCTCTCCTCTAACCTCTTTTTTTTTTTTTTCCTTCCCTCCCCATGGGTTCCCTCTTAAGTTTCTCAGGATCCCACATAAAAAATTGAAACTTCCATATGGTATCTGTCTTTCTCTGTATGGCTTCTTCACCCAGCATCGCGGCTCTCCAGTTCCATCCACGTTGCTACAAAAGGCCATATTTCATTTTCTCATTGTACGTAGTATTCAATTGTGTATGTAAACACAATTTCTTTATCCATTCATCAGCTGTTGATGGACATTTGGAAGCTCTTTCCATAATTTGGCTCTTGTTGAGAGTGCTGCTATGAACATTGGGGTACAAGTGCTATGCATCAGTACTCCCTGTGGTCCATGGATAAATTCCTAGCAGTGCTTTATTGCTGGGTCATGGTGGAGTCTATTTTTAATTTTCTGGCCTCACTGCTTTCCAGGCTGGCTGCACCATTTGCATTCCCACCAACAGTGCAAGGAGGTTCCGTTCTCCCATCCTCTCTAGCATCCTATAGTCTCCTGATTTGTTCATTTGGCCACTCTGACTGGCGTGAGTGATACCTGAGTGTGGTTTTGATTTGTATTTCCCTGATGGGTGGCCTTTGAACATCTTTTCATGTGCCTGTTGTGGCCATCCGGATGTCTTCTTTAGAAGGGTCATTATATTTCCTGCCCATTTCTTCACTGGGTTATTTAGCACCGGGTGTAGGTTTGGTGAGCTCTTTATAGATTTTGGATACTAGCCCTTTGTCCGATATCTCCAGCTATCGTTTAATTGTCAGGCTGTCTCTTCAATTTTGTC